GGAGGCGGAGGAGGAGGAGGAGGAGGAGGAGGAGGAGGAGGAGGAGGAGGAGGGGGAGCGTGAGCGGTGAGAGCCCCCCCGCCCTCCGCCGCAGGACGCCCTGCCCTGGGCCCCCCCCGCGCGGGCCGCCACAGCTTGCCCCCGCGCGGGCCGCCGCAGGGGGGGAGACTTCGAGGGCCGAGGGCCTGAGAGCTTCGGAGCGTCGTCGTCGGTGCTCGGCGGTCGTGCAGCCTCGGGCCGCCTGCCGGCAGCTGCGCCTCGCCGAGGGCGCCCCCAAGGGGGTGCCCGGATCGCCCCGAGCGGCTGCCAGAGGCCCGAGCTACGGCACGAAAGTCCCCCAGGGGGACTGGCCCGGGCCTCGGAGGGGAGAGGCACCGAGCCTCCATCCGCGACACGTCGCCGGCAGATCGGCGACGGGCCCCCGGTGGCGAAGCTGCACCTTCCCAGAGGCGCGGCGGGGCGGGGCGAGGCCCCGCCGGCGATGCATGAGCGGGGGGCCGATGCATCCCCCCACTGAGCCCGGCCCCCACGAGCGCTGCCCCGGGTGTTCGGCTCATCGCTCGGGCCTTCGGCGGCGCTCCGGAACGCTCTCGGCGAGGCGCAGCTGCTGGATGGCATCTCGAGACCGGAGCACCGCCGCGAACCACCGAAGTGCCCTCAGACTTCCCTCAGCGTTGCCCCGGATGGCCCGTGTCCACCACGACTCCGACGTCGTCGATGGTGATGCTCGTCTCCGCGATGTTCGTGGCGAGGATCACCTTCCGCACGCCGGCCGGCGGGCGGCGGAACACCCGCCGCTGCTCCTCCGGCGGCAGCGCCCCGTGCAGCGGGAGCAGCCAGGAGCGCGCGGGCTCCCGCGCCAGCGCCGGGACCGCCTCCAGCAGCGCCGAGCGCAGGGCCCTGATCTCCTCGGGTTGCCCTTTGCGCGGCGCCCGCGTTGAACGCGCAGTTTTGCGGCGCCGACCGCGTGGGCAGGGTGTCCCGCTGCAGGGGTCGTTCGGCCGTCCGCGCCAGGGCGCCCAACGCCGCAAAAGAAAATGCGGTGTCCCACAAACTCTGCCATTTTTTCGTGGACCCCGAACCCCAGAAAAACCTGGCTGCCCAGGCTGGACATACGCTGGCAACCCTCTGTCGCAACGCTGTCGAGTGTGAGCCAAGTCTGCACCGCAGCGCGGGGGGGGGGGTGGCTGGGAAGGGGCATGCCACTCCCTGACAAGAACCCTGCCCCGATCTGTGGCCGCCGCGACTGACGCGGCGACCTCCCAAACCGACCCAGAGGCGTGGCTCGTGGTCGGCTATCACGCGACGATCCTTGGCGCCGGCGAGGAAGACGAGCACGCCGCCCAGGGGCTCCCCGCTGGTCGGGTGTTGCTAGAAGTGCCCCTGGCCCCAAGTGCCCCCAGCTTTTCGCTGCATTTTTCAGCCCCTGGGGCCCTCTGGGCCTCGTGAGGGGTGCCCTGGAGGCCGTCTGGGCCACCCCGAGAATCCTGGGGGTACTTTGGGCCAGGGGTACTTCTAGCAACACCCGAGCTGGGCCCGCGGGGCGGCGGCTCTCGCAGGAAGTGCCCCACCAGCTGCGCCGCCAGGTCGAAGTTAACCTTGCGGATGGCATGACGGTGGGCACTCTAACAATCCTACCATTGAATTAAAGATGCGTCTCAAATGTTTGAAACATTTTTTAGACATCTAGAAATAATTTGGAAGCATGTTTCCTCTCCATTAATCGACTTCCACCCAGTTAACCTCGTCGTGGTCGAGGACCGCCAGAGCCGAGCGGACGCCCGCGCTGTAGCTGCGGTAGCGCTCCGCGAGCGCCTGCTCGCGCACGTCCTCCACGTCCTCGGGGCCCGTGCTGGCTGTGCTGCCGCGGTGCCTTCTCGGCTACACGCAAGGAGTGACCCCAGGCAAGAGTGACCTGTCGTGCGCGGCCAAGGGGGGACCACGCCAGGCGCGCAAGCCGCTGCTGTCGCACTGCATCCAGCGATCGGGCGGGCCCCATGGGGCCCGCACCAAAGGTCACTCTGGCGAAGGGTCACTCTTACGTGTACTAGTCGACCTTCGCCTCCGGCTGCGCATCGCCCAGTCCGCCCACGAATCGACCACGTGGCCGGTCATCTCGAGCGCGTCCTCCAGGAAGAGGGTGTTCACAGGGAACGTGCGCCCGGGGACCTTGAAGCGTGGCGCGCCGTCGAAGTACTGGCTGAACAGGTCGCTGTCCAGGGTCGCTGACATCAGCACCACGCGCAGCTCTGGGCGCCGCCCGGCGAGCCCCTTCAGCGCCAGGAGCAGCAAGTCGCCCTCCAGACTCCGCTCGTGCACCTCGTCGGCGAATACGTGGGTGAATCCCGGGAGGTCGGGCGCAGACTCCAGCCACCGCAGCGCCATGCCCGTAGTACAGAAGAGCAGCGACGTCGCGGCAGAAGATCGCGACTCCATTCGGATCGCGTAGCCGACTGTGTCACCACAGCGCTCTCCTCTCTCCTCGGCGACGCGCTGGGCGACGCCTATGGCGCTGATGCGCCTGGGCTGCGTCACGAGCACCCGGCAGTGGCGAGCCTCTGCAGCCGCAGCCTCCAGGACGTACTGCGGGAGCTGCGTGGTCTTGCCGCAGCCAGTCTCTCCCTCGACCACCACCACCTGGTGCGCCTCCAGGACCCGCAAGAAGGGGCCACGGTGCGCGAAGACTGGCAGCGACGCCCTGGCCGCCTGCAGCGGCCCGCCGCCGCGCCCCGGCGGCGGCACCGGCACCGACTCGGGCAGCGAGCCCCGCCACTCCTCGCCGCCTTGGCGCCCCGCCGCGCTGCCCTCTGCGCCCCCGCAGGCGCCCTCCAGCCGCAGCGCCTCGACGGTGGCCTGCAGGGCCTGCTGCGCCTCCGGCGACAGCTCCAGGCGCGCCGCCTCGGGCCGCGGAGCGGCACGCGGCGGGCGGCTCGCGCCGCCGGCCCCCGCTGCTCGCGGCGGCGCGCGCGCCCAGGCGGCGGCCGCCGAGCCGGGGAAGAGGCCGGGGTGCCGGGCCACTGCCACGGCCCGGCGCAGCTCGCGCAGGGAGCGCGGCGCGCACGCCGCGGCGCCCAGCGGCGCGCCGCCCGCCGCGGGGCGCGCCGCGGGCGCCGCGGGCGGGGCGCGCTGCACGACGCGCACGAGCCCCAGCTTGCGGGTGGCCCTCAGCGTGACGGTGTCGCTGCCGCGGCTCGCGGCGGCCTGGGCGCCCGCAGGCGCAGCAGCAGCAGCAGCAGGTGGCGCGGTGCAGGCCGCCGCCGCGCCGGCCGCGGAGCCGCGAGGCGCCGCGCCGCCGGGCCCGGGGCGCAGCTGCCGGCGCAGGCGCAGGCGCCTCGGCGGCGGCGCTGGGCGTGCGGCCTGGGCGCCGCCCAGGCACTCGCAGTCGCAGGACGACTCCGCGGGCGACTGCCCGCGGGCGCGCCGGCCTGCGGCGCCGCGCACGGCCGTCTCGGAGACGTCGGAGGAGAGCGTCTCGGGGCTCCTCGGTCTCCTTCGGCGGGCGGGCGTCGCGCGGCCAGCGGCCTTCGGACCTCTGCCCCCGAGGCCTCTGGCAGCCATCGCCTTCTTCGCCTTCTTCAGCTTTTTCGCGGCCTTCTTCGATGCCTTCTTCGCCTTCTTCATCGCCTTCTTGGCCTCTCTGTCCAGCCGCGCCTTCTCCCCGCCTGCTCGGCCCCCGTCGTCGAGGCGGCGACCGGCATCACCGACGCCGCGCTCCTCGGCCAGCGAGTCTCGCTGTGGTCCGCGCCGCGGCGAGGGGGACGACGAGAGCACTGCGACGCCACCGTCCATGGCGCCGCAGCCGCTGGACAGCAGCGGATCATGCGGAGAGGGTGGCGGTAGAGAGGTGGAAGGGCAAGGGATCCCGCAGCCACCTTGAGCAAGACATGCGACGATGTTTGGGCATCGTTTGGCCTTTTGAGGGCATCCTGGGGAGGCTCTGGGGCCAATATGGCTCCAAGATGGCACCAGACGCCTTCGGCGTTATACCAGATGGCGCAGGATGGTCCAAGCTTGCTCGATATGGCCTCACGACGGCCCAAAGACTGTTCTGAGTGGCCTCGGAGCCACTTTAGTTAGCATACCCGCGAGAAGCCAAAATCATGCAGACAACATGTTTTTCGAATCATGTTGACCTTCTCGCCTTTTCGCTTCTGATGGGCTCCAAGGCCACAAGAGAGTCTCAAGAGGGGCCCAGACGCGCTACAAGCTGGCCCCAAGAGGGGCCCAACACGGCCCCAAGATGTGACGTTTCGGACTGAAGGAATCTTTTCTAAATGGATGGCGTCCTGGATCGCCCCAGGATAGCCCCAAACGCCTCAAGAGGGCCCCGCGAGAGCCCGAAGGCCTCCAAAGTGACCCCGAGAGGGGCCCCAAGATATCCCAGATAAGCTTCCAAGAGGCTCCAGCGACAGAATTCGTGGTTGACTCCTGGGTCTTCTCAGGCTGATTCTGAGCTGCGGTTTGATGGCTGCCCCTAGTTGTTCCACTGCTTGCTCCTATAGTTCCCTGATCAAGCCAATTTAACTGGAAATCATTTTGGATGAACCAGTGGGGACGCACGAAGCGTCCATGATTCGCACCCTGCCATCCGCCTCCATGATCACCTCTAGGAGAACCAGCCGTCTTCTGCACCCCTTGGGTGGAAGAGCCGCCGTCTTGAAGCTCACTCAGTTGGAATTCTGGTCTTCTTGGAGCCACTTGGAAGAAGTAGAGGGATCCTTGGAGGCACCTTGGGTGGAACACCAGCCAACCCTCTTTGAACCCCCTTCCGGAGAACATTGGCTGTCTTGGAAGGTGGAGTGCTGGCCGTGTTGGAGCAATCACATGCGCAATGTTGATCAATTTGAGCCCCCCATAAAATAGCAGCCAGCGCTGACTCCAAATAGATTAGACGACTGAAATCAAGGAATCAGAGGAATCAAGCATGCTTGGAATCCGCAAGTCAACAAGCAAACAAGCGTGCAAGCAAGCGCGCAAGCAAGCGCGCAAGCAAGCAAGCGTGCAAGCAAGCAAGCAAGCAGGCATAGGCATAGGCGTAGGCATTAGGGGCGAGGCATAGGGATAGGACTAGCCATAGTAATAAGGGGGGGGGGGTGATAGGAATTAGGGGGTGGGGCAACGAACCAATTAGTAGGATTTGAGTTCGGACTCCTATAGGGCAAGCCTATTTGGGGGATTCGTGTTGGAGCCACCTTGGGTGAAATATTGGCAAATTGGGGCTCCCTTGGTTGGAGTAACAGCCATCTTTCTTGGAGCTACCTGGGGTGTAATACTGGGTATTGTTGTCTTTAACTCCTGTCGGTACCACAACAAAAAATCAGCCAGCGTTGACTCCAAATAGATAGGAGGACAGGAGGAGAAGGACGAGAGGAGGATGGGAAGAAGACGAAAGGAGGACGGGAGCAGGACGGGAGGAGCAAAATCAAGCAAGCGCAAGCAAGCAAGCGGACGCAAGCAAGCGCACGAGAGCAATACCAAGCAAGCAAGAGCCAGCGATCAAGTGAGCGCTCAGAGGTGGTGCATAGGCATAGGCATAGGCGTAGGCATAGGAGTTAGGGGAGGCATAGGCATAGGCATAGGCATAAGAATTAGGGGGCATCGGAATTAGGGGGGGGGCAACGGACCAACTAGTAGGGTTTGAGGTAGAACTCCTATGAGGCAAGCCTATTTGGAGAATACACATGTGGAGACAAGTCCTAGCAGCATGACGCTGGAAATGCAATGGCCAACGTGGACCCAGCTCGGGCCCTGTGCATCGTTGTGGAGATGTACTCACTTCTGCAGATGTCCACTCATTTTCTTGAGTTTCTTGCCCTGGTTCCCATGCATCGACACCAGCGCTTCTCTAGCTGTGGCGCTGGGAGGTTCAGACATGATTACATCGAGCTGCTTTGCTTTAATCATAGAAAACGGCCGTATTAGAGCGCATATGTATTGAACGTCGCTTGCTTTATTAAGGTCTAAGGAACTGACGCCATCACGCCTCATGAACACATTTGACCCTCTGCCACCAAGAATGGTATCTTTGACTGCCTGGAGGAAGGCATGATTCTTTTGAACAATTTTGACAGTGTATGCGAATCTGTTGCCACACGGAATACATCCGAAATACGCATCTGCATCACACAAACCAGCCGTGTAAGCCCGCTGCTGCTCGTTTCCCCTGCTGTCAAACAAGAGTTGTGTGCTGTAGTCGTCGACTGTGGTCGTCTGAGCTTCTGCCCGGACGCTTCGCAGCTGCAAGAGCAATTCATGTCGTTCCTGCCGAACCTTGTCAGTGATAGATGGGCCAGCCCTTCCAGGGAACAAGTGCCGATGTGAAAGCAACAAGCGTGACTGCTTCTTCTTCAGAACAAGCGCATCGTCCAGATCATCAAGGGCAGAAAACACTGCGTGTCCAACTAGGCTCCACCTGCAAACAGGTCGGTGGTTTGGATTGGTAAGGGCGGGTCGATGATAAGTGCCCTTGCTGCCACCGTACAGGGAATGGAACTCGCTCGTGGCTTGAAGCCCTTCGACCGTTAGAGATAACCCAATCGATAGCACTGGTCTTATTTCCATGCCGCTCTTCGCAATGTGTATAGAACCGTCCCCGTCCATGAAACCACCCCGCCAGTGTGCATGTGACGCCCAGCATCCTGCTGTACGCTGGGCTTGCTGCTTGGGAATTCGGGTCAACATCATGGCAACGGCAAGCTAGCTAAATGAACGCACATTCGACGTGAGCGCCCAAAAGGCGAGCATCATGACACGCCACTGTCGTGGCAGTGAAACGCTTGCCTGTGGCAGCAGATGAGTAGCTGTCCAGATTTGTCCGCAGCGTGCGCCCAATAGCTTCAGCCAGGATGGCCTGAGCCAGAAGATCGAACATAAGGGGCTTGAGCCCAAATAGCTTGAGCCCGAATGGCTACGGATGTAATGTTGGCCATCTTGAAGCCTCCTCGGGTGGAGCTCTGGCCCCCCTGGAGCCCCTTTGGGTGGAATGCAAACCGTTTTGGAGCCCCCTTGGGTAGAATGCTGGCCCTCTTGCAACCCCCTTCGATGTGATACAGGCCGTCTTGGAGCCCCCTTCGGTGGAACTCTAGCCGACTTGGGGCCCCATCGGGCGGAATACCGGCTGCCTTGGAGCCAACTCATGTGGCATTCCCGCCCCCATCAAGCACCCTTCGGTGGAATGCCGCACGTTCGGAGCACCCCCTGGATGGAATACCAGCCCTCTTGGGGCCCCCCGTCGACCGCATACCAGCCGTCTCAGAGCCCCACTTGGATGGAGCACTGGCCGTCTTGCAGCGTCTCGGGTGGAAAGCTGGCCCCTATAGAGCCCCCTCGGTTGTAACACAAGCCGTCTTGGAATGATCTCGGGTGGAGCACGAACACTCCTCTTGAGTGGAATACAGTCAACCCGTACCGTGAGGTTACGCGAGAAGGATGCAAGGGCCTTGGACGCTCATTTCGAAGCTTCTCGAGCGGGGCGCGGCCGACGAAAGTGGCGAAGGATGGACCGATGAGGCAAGGATGCGAGGGTACCCTTGGGAAGGAAGCCAATCCTTACTATGCGGGTCGACTTTACTGGCCGTGTTGGAGCCCCCTCGAACGAAATACTGTCCGTCTTGCGGCCGCACTCTGTAAAATCCCAGCTGCCAGGAAGCCCCCTTGGGTGGAATGCCGGCCAGCTCGAGGCCGCCTCGGGGTGAACGCAGACCGTCTCGGAGCCTCCAGAATACGGGTCCTCTTGGAGCCCCTTCGGGCGGAATGTCGGCCTTGTCGGAGCCCCTCGGGTGGAATGCAGGCCGCCCCGGAGCCAGCTCGGGTGGAGCAGCAGCCCCCGTGGAAGGCCCCCCAGCGGAACACTGGCCGCCTTGGAGCCCCCCAACTGGGCGGAGTGCCGGCTGTCTTGTAGCTTCCCGGGCGCCAAGGGAGCGGTCTTCAAGCCCTCTCGGGTGGAATGCAAGACATCCAGGACCCACCTCGGCTGGAGCACCAACCCTCTCTGAGCCCCCCTCGGTGGTGAGATGATGATTGTCGTTGATCTGACCCCCCCTGGTGTAACTTCGCCAGCGTCATCGCTACCGCTTTTGCAGCTGTCCTTACCTGACCCAACATGTAAAAATCACGTCCTGGCTATGACGCAGGATGAGGGAGCGCAGTGTAATCATGATGGCGACCGTGTCGACCGTGTGTTACGATTGTCATCCCCAAATCCTTGGCATGATTGTCATCATCGTCGCGCAGAGCACACGGACAGTGTACTTGCGCGACCTGGTCGCGCTGATCGGGACCAGGCGCCTGGTTAATCGTCGAGAACGCACGCCTGGAGTTTTTCTCACATATCACACCACAGAAAAACTGGTCCGCATTCTCATTGCCATCGCCGGAGGGGGACGGGTGTGGAGCAAAGGCGGACAAAAAGAAGAGGAGGAGGAGGGCAAGGAATATGGACAGCTCAATTCAGTACGGTCCAGACCAGTCAGGGGGATGTGGTTCTCCATCACCGCCGCCGCTCCGACTGCTGACTGCCCGATGGGATACGAACAAGCGGCAGAGACGCTACTGAATGTGTCATCCAGGTCATCGGCCCTGGCCGTGCGTCACGCCATCGGTGCGCCAAGTTTGCGCGAAAAAGGGCGCGACCAGAACGTGCGTGCCAAGTTGCCCAGGCGGCAGGGCGCACGCCACCGCCAGCCGCGAGGCGGGCGGCACCCTCCAGATCATCACGGACGGCTGGAGCGGGCGGCGCGGGCGGCCGCGGAGGAGGGCCGCACCTCTCGGGGGCCCCGAAACCGGGTGGTGACAGACCGCGCGGGGACTTCGAAATCCCAAGGGACCTCCCCGCGCGCTCCGTCATCGCACCCTTGAGGCCCCAGTCGCCCGAGACTTCCTCGGAGAACGGCCCGAATCCCCCAAACTGCGCGGTGACTATCGGGCCGGGCGAAAGGGGGGGATAGCAAAGGAGGGGTTGAGAATCAGCTCACGTGGCTGCTTCTCCCGGCTCCTCCCGGCGCTGGTGTCGCCCATGTGTCGAGGGATGGGCCCGGCGGCGGGGCAGAAACCAGCTGCATGCAGCAGATTTCGTAACCCCCCCTTTCCCTATCCCCCCCTTTCGCTCGGCCCGAGACTACGGATCCCCGCCGACTCACCACGCGCTGTGGTCACCACACTCGGAGGCCCCAGTCGCCCGAGACTTCCTCGGAGAAGGGCACGAATCCCCTAAACTGCGCGGTGAGTACGAATCCCCGCCGACTCACCACGCGGTGTGGTCACCACACCGCTCGAGGGGCCACCGAGCTTCCCGACGCAGGCTGGAGAGCGCACCCGTCGGCGGGCGGCGGCGGCGGCGGAGGGCCGGCGCCTTCTGGGGGAACTTGAGGACAAACTTCTCGCACCCCTCCTGTTCGGAGGCAGCTCACGGGGGCCTCCCCTACCATCTTGTCGGCTCCTGCGAATCGACGCTCAATCGATCCCGATCGACGCTCAGTCGACGCTCATCGCCGCTGAGCCGACGCCAGATCGGCGCCGTCGCATCGACTCCCAGACGCTAAGCGACGCCAAAGACGGAAGTACGAGGGTGTACATGGCTCCCATGCTTTGCTACCGAACTCCTGGGGGCACGGCTCCGCGCCCGCCAGGTCGGTGAGCCAGTGCACGAAGTAGAAGGCCACGTCGCACCCGCTGACCTGCCGCCGCCGTGGCCGCCCTCCCCTGGAAGTGTACGGCTGGGAGCTTCTGCTCGGCGTGTCGCGGCGGCGGCCCCGGCGACACGCTATGCAAGGCGATCCTCCTCCTCCTCCTCCTCCTCCTCCTCCTCCTCCTCCTCCTCCTCCTCCCTCCCTCCCTCCCTCCCTCCCTCCCTCCCTCCCTCCCTCCCTCCCTCCCTCCCTCCCTCCCTCCTCCTCCTCCTCCTCCTCCTCCTCCTCCTCCTCCTCCTCCTCCTCCTCCTCCTCCCTCCCTCCTCCTCCGCCTCCCCCTCCCCCCTCCTCCTCCTCCTCTCCTCCTCCTCCTCCTCCTCCTCATCATCTTCTTCTTTTCTTCATCTTCATCTTCATCTGCATCATCATCATCATCATCATCATCATCATCATCATCATCATCATCATCATCATCATCATCATCATCATCATCACCACCATCATGATCATCATCATCATCATCATCATCATCATCATCATCATCATCATCATCATCATCATCATCATCATCATCATCACCATCATCACCATCACCATCACCATCACCATCACCATCACCATCACCATCACCATCATCCTCCTCCTCCTCCTTGTCCTCCACCTGGGCGTATCGCTCCGCTCCGCGGGCCGGGAGGCTCGGACAGGCTCGGAACGTCGTTGACGCCTGGGGACTGGGGCGAGGATAGCGCGTCGCACCGAGGCCTGGTGGGCCAGAGCCGGCGGCGTGACATGCTAAGCCAAAGTGCCTGGCCGTATACGTCTCTCCTCATTCTTCCTCATCCTCGGGCGGCTTCGTGTCGTGATGACTTGCGCGGCGGTCTCTGACGCCGCATGCATCGTTCAATCTTGAACGATCGCGGCTTCTCGATCGCACAGCGTCGCTCGATGCAGGCCGATTCTGGGCCACTGGCGGCATTCGATCTTGAACGCCCGCGCGCCATGCCGACACGTACCAACCACACGCTCTGTATGCCTCTGCTTCGTCTCACTGTTCGCTTCCGTCTCCTCGTGCCGGCTTCCCTCCCGCTCGTGCTATCGCAGTCGTGCCCCAAAGGAAGCGGCACCTGCCCCGACATGATCATGTCCTTGAACTTCTGGAAGAGGGCGCCAGGCGGCGCCTCTGCCTGCACCAGCCACCCCATGTTGTACTCCATCTTGCACTGCGTGAACTTCACGCTCTGCTTGGACGCCCGGGGCAACATCTCGAAGGAAGGCAGCACGGAAGGATAATGCTCCAGCACGAACGCGAGGGCCGCGTCGTGATCTGAGATCTTCTCCCCCTCCTGATCCACTGGCAGCAGCGCCTTGACTTTCATGATGTCATGTATGGCAGTCAAGACCTCGGAGGGCGTGTGCGACCAGATCGACCGGACACGCTCCATCCAACCGGCCTGGACTGGCATCCAGACGGGACTCGGCGGCGAGCAATAGCGTCCAGGGCGAGATCTGGCCTTCTGGGATAGAGGGACAACAAGCGGCATAAATAGAACTTCTGGAGGTCCGCGCGGTTTTATTGGATCTGCGCTGGGGCCCCCTCCCTGGCGCGCGGAGCGCGCCAGGGGCGGCGCCAGAGGCGCCGCCAGGGGGGCCCCCGCCGCCAGGGGGGGCCCCAGACATTCGCGCGGAGCACCAAAAGCTTATTGCTATGGCGTTTTGTTTGTTGTTTGTTGTTGTCTTGTTTTTTGTCAATATATATAGTGTTATATATATGTATATATAAGTGTATATATATGTATATATATATAGTACTAGTTAAAAATAACATACAAGTACATTCTTGGAGAGAAGGGGACCTTCTGGGCAGGCAGCGGGGCTTCCAAGAAGGCCGAGGCGAGGGGGCCTCCCGAGAAGGCAGCGGCCCCCCTGAGGACGCACGCCCTGCGCCGTCCAAGAGACAAATGGGGGCCTTCTCAAGAGGCTGCTGCTCCTCCTCCTCCTCCTCCTCCTCCCCTCCTCCTCCTCCTCCCCCTCCCCCTCCTCCCTCCTCCTCCTCCTCTCCTCCTCCTGCTCCTGCTCCTGCTCCTGCTCCTGCTCCTCTCCTCCTCTCTCCTCCTCCTTCTCCTCCCTCCTCCTCCTCCTCCTCCTCCTCCTCCCTCCTCCTCCCCTCCTCCTCCTCCTCCTCCTCCTCCCTCCTCCCTCCTCCTCCTCCTCCTCCTCCTCCTCCTCCTCCTCCTCCTCCTCCTCCTCCTCCTCCTCCCCCTCCTCCTCCGCCACCGTGCCGCGAGGCACTGAGGTTGAGCACCCTCGAATACTGGGATGCATGCTCCCCTTTCTCTGTCGGCGGCGAGCGAGGGGGTGAAGCGGGAAGGAGAGGCCCTCCTCAGGAAGGCGGCGGGACTTCCCAGAAACCCTCGCGCCTTCTGAGACGTCTCCTGTGCCTTCTGAGAAGGCTTAGAAGCCACGTGTCTCCTCCGCCACCGTGCCGCGCAGCACTGAGGTGAGTACCCTCGAATACTGGGACACATGCTCCCCTTTAGAAGTCTCCTGTGCCTTCTGAGAAGGCTTAGAAGACTTCGCAGAAGGCCGGGGGACTTCCGAGCCTCGGGCGGGCGGCAATGGAGGGTGACCTGACTGGGGTGAGAATACAAAGGCCCTAAAGAGGCCCTTTAGGGCTCCTTTTTTGCCCCCGCCGGCTCCAAAAGGGGCCCTGAAGGGCGCCCCTTGGGCCCTTTTCTTCACCTCCTCATGTAGATCACCCCCCATGACCACCCGCCCGAGAGCCTTCTGAGAAGACCTTCTTCTGAGAAGGCCTTCTCCTTCACTTCTGAGGAGGCCTTCTCCTTCTCACTTTCCCCCCAGGCTCGCCGCCGGCCCTAGGCGCTCCTGGGGTGCGGCACGTCTCCTCCTCCTCCTCCTCCTCCTCGTCGTCCTCGTCGTCCTCGACGTCCTCGTCGTCCTCGTCGTCGTCGTCGTCCTCCTCCTCCTCCTATTCCTCCTCCTCCTCCTCCTCCTCCACCTCACCCTTCTCCTCCTCCTCCTCCTCCTCCTCCTCCTCCTCCTCCTCCAGAGGCCTCGGGAGTGTGGCTGGGGGTCTCAGCCTCGAGCGTGATCTAAGCTGGTCTCGGGGCGCGCGTGCGGGCGCGCTCTCTCGTGGGCCTTCTTGGGCAGCCTTGGGGGCCCCCAAAGGTCCTCCACAGATCCGGTTAAATATCGAGCGAGATCCTCATTAGAACAAGGTTAGGAGGCCGCATGCGAAACCTACCCCACCACCCCACGATTTCTCTGGGGGGAGGTGGGCTTAACTTTGCTCGGGAGGTACCGAAGGGTCGGCCTCCATCCGAATAGCTGTTTGGCAATGCTGTGCTCGAATTGGTACGTTTTGGATGAATCTCAAGCGAGGGCCCTTTTCTGGAAAGGAACCACCCTTAACCGGGGTACTTTTCGGGTCTTGTGAAAACAGATGTGTGCGACGCCAGCGCGAGACTCCCATTATGAGAACGATTCGCCCTCCATTCGTGTTGCTGTTGGAGTTGTGCAAGACGAGCGCGCGCGGCGCCAGCGCGAGAGCCCCATTTTGAAACAGTTTCTCCTTTCATTCGAGCTTTTACTATGAAAACGGGTATGCACAACGACAAGGCGTAAGCCCCACTTTGAAAACGACCCGCCCGCGATCCGTGGCAGGTGCACATGTCAAGCCTCAAGGTTGTAAGCGCTGAGGAAGTCTCAAGCGAAACGCCAGGCCCACCCTACCGACACGTCTGGTGGTGCGACAGGACGGAGTTGTCTAGAAGGAAAAATGACGGATGAGGAGTGGGAAGAGCAAGGACGAGCTCCGATCGAGCCCCGATTGATGGACCGTGGTCTGGGAACGACATGGGGGGCGAGAGACGTTCGAGCACGTGGCTCTCGCCTGAGCGCCGCGGACATTCCACTGAACTGGCTCGCACCTCTCAAGCTGACCTGCTCGGACTTTTCTTCTTCTGATGCTCCGCGCGCCGAGCGAGTCTCCAGCCTGAGCCCCCCTGCCATACCGCTCTGGGGCGCACTGCCGAGGGGCACGAGGGGACTGCGCTCGCGCGCGCGTGGTCCAGCTCGCCGTGAGCCCTCCGGCACGTGCCACACCACGGGGCCTCCTCAGGGCAAGCCTGGTATTCGGCAGTTGACAACGGGGTGATCGGAAAAGGTCCTGTAGGTCGCGCGCTCCCGCGCGACCAGCGGCGGCGGCAGTTGGGAAGCCATGGAGACCGTGGCCGCATATTCATACCTTCGCCGAGGCGTCCGAGAATCCCATTAGCCCTTTGGGCGACAGGTGGTCCAAGGGTGATCTCTTTTTTCTTCCACAACCCCTTTTCCCTTCGGGGATGTGAGCCCTCCCCCTCCCCTCCCTCGGGTTTTTTGGGAGGGGGACCGGGGTGTCAGAGGATCCTTTTTCGGCCATTGGGAGGGCCAATTTTGACACCCCTCACGAGGATCGTGGCCCCCGAGGGGGGGGCTGACATCGAGGACCCCCCCTCTTTTGACCGACCGCCTTCAAGATGGCACCAAGAAGCCCTCCACGGTTCCGAAGAGGCCCCCGAGAGAGCTCCGAGAGCGCCCCAATAGGCCCCAAGAGGCCTCCAAGAGGCACCCGAGAGGTACCCAAGTGGCCCCCGAGCGGCCTTAGAGAGCCCAAGGTGACCTTCAAGATGGCTCAAAATGGCCCAAGCTGGCTCAAGATGGCTCACAAGATGCTCCAAGAAACCCTCAAACCGATTCAAGACGGCTCGAGATAGCCACGCGGGCCCGGCCCCAACACGCCGTCCAGGCTGGCCTCCCTCGCTGTTTGACTATGCGTGTCTCTTCCTCTCTCCCTCCGTCAACTCACACGGGCATCGTTTCTGGATGGGCTGGCGGGGGTACGTTGTTTGTTGCCAGCCGCAGGCGAGCGCGCCGACGGCGTGTCAAGGTCCGAGCGGGCCGCGCGAGGTCCTAAATTACCTAGCAAAAGCAGGCCTGCCGCCGCAACTCAGAACGGGACCAGGAGGTAGCCGAAGAGGGGGCGGAGCTGCAAAACTGCCAGGGGCTGCAAACGTGTATCGAGCTGCAGGCGCGGTGCTGACTGCCAGGGGAACTGACTGCCAGGGTCTGCAAGCTGCCAGAGGTGAATTGAACTGCAAAACGTGGGCAACTGATGTAACTGGAGAGGCTGCCAGGGTGGCCTGAACCGTGTGGGCCAAAACCCCCAAGTGGACGAATTGAGTGCGCTGGTGGGGATACGCGAAGCGCCAAGACTTTTGATAACCATTGCTACACGTATTGCTACACGCACTCCACCTTGAACAGAAACTTGTCGATGCCATGACTGCACAGACGCATCCAATGCTGCCTGGACAGCGCTATGCACAGCAAGGCCAACTTGTCCGATTTCAATCAATGTGCTTCCACCTGAACTCCACGATGTCACTCATGGGTGATCTCCAGCAGCTTGAATGCGGTCAAGCCGCACATGTACAGCATGCTCAACATTAAAGCTGCCTACTCACATCTTCATGCGCGAAATGTCTGGCATTGTCTATCTCGGGAAGGGCTCGACCTGGAAAGATCTATTCGAGGGACGAGTCGCGCGCCTCGACCAACACCCTTCGGGCCATGGGCTCAAACAACTTGCTGCTATTGATCTGCATTAACCCTAGCGTCCTGGAAAGCAAGCTCAAGAGCATGCACATGCGCATCGCGATGAACATGTCGCCGTCCCCACCAAAACTCACGGTCGGGTCAACTCGCTCGATGATCTCGTCGAACTTGGCCATGCCTCCCAGCTCCTGTGTCGCGTGCGGGTATGACAGGCACCCGGCCACGAAATTGGCGGACTTGTTCGCGATCCGCCCGTTGTTCCGCTTCGCCCTGAAGCCGACCTCGCGGTAGAAACCCGCGGTGGCCTCCTCGCCCAGCGCCGCCGCCGCGCACAAGAGCCGCGCGAGCCGCGCGCGCTTCTCTTGTGAGAGGTGTCTCAGCTGGCCCCAGTCGATCAAGCCGATGCCGCCGCCATCCAGAAGCATGACGTTTCCTGAGTGCGGATCTCCGTTCGCGAGGCCATGCGAGAAAAGCAGGTGCCCCTCGGCCTCGTATACGAGGTCGCAGACTTCGTAGACGTTGGGGTTCGAGTGCTGCTGGGCAACGGAGGCGACAGACCGCGTTGGCTGGGAGCGCCACCGACCACTTCCAGACAAAGTTCCTCGCAGCCGTCAGCTTCAGGAGTAAGCCCATCGTCAGCATCGCGGGAGGCTTACCAAGCCTTTCGACCTCGTCCACGGTGAAGTCCTTCAGCCTCTCTTTGAGCGACTGGGCGCTGGCGTAGCCATGCTTCCGCGCGGCCTCTGCCAACTGATCGTCGCTCCACCTGGACACCGATTGCCCCTTCAGCATGGCCATGGCGAGGACGTTCTTCGTGCACATCCCGTCGCGGAGCTCTGGGTCTGCGCCCGCCCTGAAAGCAGCTGGCAGGCCCGGGTGGTCGTGCAAGAAAGGTTGGGGGACCAAGAGTCTGCCACTTCTCGAGTGGAAGTCTTGAATACCATCGTGCGCGAGCTTCTGCAGCCTTGCCTCCTTCACGTAGTCGAACTCGTTTGCGAAATTGTCCTTCAGCTTCTCGAGAATGCTCATGCAGCCAGACGTCAACAATTTAGCAGCATAGAGGAAGATATTCATATCAGTGTTGAGGAATTTCTCAGCATCAGTGTATCGATTTTTGACAACCGCTGGCCTCCCAGAGCCCTTCCCTGTGGCGCTGTGCACCCGCCCGATGCTCGCCGACGCCAAAGGCTCCTTAGAGAAGTCATCGAGCACGTCATCGACGTTTCCCACACCGAGCTCCCTCTCGACAATCGGTCTGCGCACCGTGCCGAAATCCTCGTGGGGCGCGTCGTCCATCGAGGCCGGGAAGCGCTGGGCATACGGCTGGGGGCACGCGGGCATCGAGTAGGCCGCCTGCGCCAAGGCGCCAACTTTTTCTTGCGCAGGCTGCCGAGCGCAAGCGCTCGTAGCGTCAGGCGCGCGTCGGCGGGCCGACGCGCAACGCTCGCACTGCTGGAGCTCCAGCAACGGCAAGCGCACAGTGCTGCAGGAGAGCGAGCGGACACGAGAAAAGCGCCAACTTCGCGCAGCACCCGCGGGCCGCGGGCACCCTGCCGAGCACAGCGCCCGCGCACTCCTCGTGCAGGGGCCGCGAAGGCTCGCTGCGGCTGTCGAGGAGCTCGCGCCGCCTGCAGCCCCGGACGGTGCGCACCGCGCGCCCACGTGCAGCAACAGGTCCTTCGGAGGCCTTCGTCGCTGTCGTGCGCGTGGCACACGCCGCCGCGGGCGCCCACGGGAAGGCAGCGCCACATGCGCGCCGAACGCAGGGCAAGACCCCCGGAGGCATCTCTCGGAGCCGGGCGGGAGCCAACATGGCCACGGAAGCGGGCCTGTTCGACCTGGGGCCGTCGCGGGAGGCTTCCTTGCATCTCATGTTGTAGAACTTCAAAGGTATGCCGCCGCTGCGCGAATTCACGGCCATTACTTTCGATTCCCTTTCCAAGGTGTGATATCGCTCTGCGTGTCATTGAAGATTGCTATGCGGCAGTTCTGTTTCACGACGCTGCTCTTGCCTGAATGGCCAATCCATGGGTGTCTCGTCTCTCAATGGGGGAACCTCCGCAATGAATCAGAACAACACATGCTGTGACTTATGAGTGGGGTTTGGGGACGGGGGGTGGGGTGGGGGGTGGGTGGGTCAACTGCAACATCGTTGACTCATTTTGGGTTGACTCTGGGCCTCCTCCTCCTCCTCCTCCTCGTCCTACTCTTCTGCTTCTTCTTCCTCTTCTTCTTCTTCTTCTTTCTGCTGCTCCTCCTCTTCCTCCTCATCCTCCTCTGCCCCCCCCTCCAGGCCCTAGGAACACCCTTCCCCCTACAACTAAGGGCTCTGGCAAGCATCGCCAGGGTTCGCTCCACGTCGTGAGACCAACCTCCAGGACCTTCTGGATCTTTCCTGCGCAGAACCAGCACCCAGGAGAGTCGGCAAAAGAAGGACGGTGGAGAAGGCTGAGGAGGAGGAGAAAGAGGACAGGATGATGAGGAGGATGATGCTGAGGAGGGGGAGGAGGAAGAGGAGGAGGAGGATAATGAGGAACATGAGGATCAGGAGGGATGATGTCGAGGATGATGGTGATGATGCTGATGCTGCTGCTGCTGCTGATGATGATGATGATGATGTTGATGATGGGCAGGAGGAGGAGGAAGAGGAGGAGGAGGAGGAGGAGGACAGGGAGGAGGAGGAGGAGGCGGAGGAGGAGGGTGATGATGATTCTGACAACGACAAGGACAATGATGCTGCTGCTGATGATGATTATGATGATGATGAGGAAGAGGCCGACGCTGCTGCTGATGCTCAGGCTGATGACCAATCAATCTGATCATCCATGAAGGCCAGCAGCGATACTTCCCGAGTGTGCAGAGGGTGCCCAGGATCGGGCTACACCCGAGCGTCAGTTTGCGGTGCGCGGCCACAGACACCGTCGCGGCGCATCGTCGTGGCTGCCGCGGTGCGCAGGAGGAGGCGGAGGGAGGAGTGGGGGAGAGAGGAGGGGGAGGAGGAGACGAAGATGCGGATGAGGATGACAAGGAAACATGTGATGATGATGATGATGATGATGATGATGATGATGATGATGATGATGATGATGATGATGATGATGATGTGGATGCTGATGCTGCAGTTGCTGCAGCTGGCGACGACGATGATGATGCTGATGATGACGCTGATGATGATGATGACGATGCTGATGCTGATGGCGATCATGATGATGATACTGATGATGCTGATGATGATGGTGGTGGTGACGATGCCGGTACTGGTGATGCTGATGATGATGCTGACGATGAAGATGATGCCGATGATGCTGATGCTGATGCTGATGACGATGCTGACGATGATAACGATGAGGATGATGAAGACTGTGATAACGATGACGATTGTGCTGATGATGCTGGTGATGATGATAGTGATGCTGTTTACGATGATGATGGTGATGACGATGCTGATAAGGACGATGATGATGCTGATGCTGATGCTGATGATGAGACTGCTGCTGCTGATACTGATGCTGATGCTTCTGGTGCTGATCATGATGCTGCTGTTGCTGCTGATGATGATGCTGCTGTTGCTGCTGATGGTGATGCTGCTGATGCTGACGATGATGATGCTGATGATGCTGATGATGATGTTGATGCTGCTGATGATGATGAGGATGATGCTGCTGATGATAATGGTGCTACTGCTGATGATGAAAACGACGAGAATGATGAAGAGGATGATGATGATGACGATGACGATGATGATGATGATGCTGATGATGATAGTGATGCAGTTTACGATGCTGATGGTGATGACGATGCTGATGAGGACGATGATCTTGCTGCTGCTGATGATGATGATGATCAGACTGGTGATGCTGATGATGATGCTGATAATGATGATGAGGATGATGATGATGAGGATGATGATGATGAGGATGATGCTGGTGCTGATGTTGATGCTGCTGTTGCTGCTGATGGTGATGCGGCTGATGCTGACGATGGGGATGCTGATGATGCTGTTGATGCTGATGATGATGAAGATTATGCTGCTGATGCTGATGATGCTGTTGCTGATGATGATGATACCGATGGTGTTGCTGTGGAAGATGATGCTGCTGCTGATGCTGATGGTGCTACGGCTGATGATGATGATGCTGATGACGATCATGATGATGCTGCTGATGATGTTGATGCTGGTGATGATATGATGATGATGCTGACGATGTTGATGCTGATTATGATAATGATGATGCTGATGCTGCTGCTGATGAAGATGATGACGCCGATGACGATGATGCTGATGCTGAGAAAAGGTGATAATGATGCTGCTGATGGTGATGATGGTGATGATGCTGATGCTGATAGTGATGGTGCTGCTGATGCTGCTGATGATGATGATGATGACGATGACAAGAACGATGATGATGATGCTGATGCTGATGCTGATGAGGATGAGGATGATGCTGCTGCTGCTGATGATGATGCTGATGATGATGATATGGAGGCTGATGATGGTGACGACGACGACGATGATGATGATGATGATGATGATGATGATGATGATGATGATGATGATGATGATGCTGATGAGGAGGAGGAGGAGGAGGAGGAGGAGGAGGAGGAGGAGAAGGAGGAAGAGGAGGAGAAGGAGGAGGAGGACGAGGACGAGGAGAAGGAGGAGGAGGAGGAGGAGGAGGAAGAGGAGGAGGGGAAGGAGGAGGAGGAGGGATGATGCCAGGGAGGAGCAGCAGGAATAGGAGGAGGGGAGAGGAGGAGGAGAGGAGGAGGAGGAGGAGGAGAGGAGGAGGAGGAGGAGGAGGAGGAGGAGGAGGAGGAGGAGGAGGAGGAGGAGGAGGAGGAGGAGGAGGAGGAGGGGAGGAGGAGGAGGAGGAGGAGGAGGAGGGAGGAGGAGGAGGCGGAGGAGGAGGAGGAGGTTGATGATGATGATGATGATGATGAAGATGCTGATGCTGATGCTGCTGCTGCTGCTGCTGCTGATGATGATGATGATGATGATGATGATGATGATGATGATGATAATACTGATGATGCTGATGATGATGCTGCTGATGATGATGCTGCTGACGATGATGATGGTGGTGATGATGGTGCTGATCGTGATGATTACGAGGAGGATGAGGAGCAGGAGGAGGGGGGAGAGGAGGCGGAGGAGGAGGAGGAGGAGGCGGAGGAGGGGGCGGAGGAGGAGAGGGAGGGGGAGGAGGACTGATAAGGAGGGTCTCTCCTCAGTAGCCCGGCGTCCATGAACAGCTGCTCCAATTCCTCCCACTTCATCTGCTCCAAGAAGGTCCTCCTCTTCTCGAGCTCCTGTGGACTTCCGTGGGAAGAGGAGGAGGAGGGAGGTGGGGGGGAGGAACAATTTATGAATTGGACGTGAGGAAGAGGAGGAGGAAGAGGAGGAGGAGGAGGAGGAGGAGGAGGAGGGGGAGGGCTGAGGAGGACGAGGAGGAGAGGAGGAGGAGGAGGAGGAAGAGGGGAGGAGGAGGAGGAGGAGGAAAAGGAGAAGGAGGAGGAGGAGAAGGAGGAGGAGGAGGAGGAGGGGAGGAGGAGGAGGAGAAGGAAAAGGAGAAGGAGGTAGAGGAGGAGGAGGAAAAGGAACGTCGGTCGGCTCCATCGCGCTGCTTCCGCCCTGCCACCGGCGTACACCACTTCTGAAATAGCGTCTTCTGCGGGCCCTCCCGGGATATGGGGGGGATCGGGTTTCAAGATGGCGAAGCTTGCATTGAACGCATCACACAGCCCGTGAAAGACGCTCCCTCCCACTTCTACAGTAAGGATAATTTTACCTTTCCGTCCTCCCAGACGGCCTTTTAGCTGCCCGGGGGGGGGGGGAATGGCATCAACCTGTCGCGGGGAAGGACAAGGGGGAGAAGGGGGAGGAGGGGGAGGAGGGGGAGGACTGGGAGGAGGAGGAGAAGGAGGAGGAGGAGGAGAAGGAGGAGGAGGAGGAGGGGGGAGGAGGAGGGAGGAGGAAAGAGGAGGATGAGGAGGAGGAGGATGAAAAAGGTGAGGGGAAGGGGAGGAGAAGAAGGAGGAGGAGGCAGAGGAGGAGAAGAAGGAGAAGAAGGGGAGGAGACAAAGGTCCTCTGGACTTCTGCTTGGGAACGGGCTCTTCTCGGACAGCGGGTTCCAATCGTTGTCCACCCCGAAGCAAAAGGACTGCGCTCCGTCGATGGTCCTCCTGGAATGTGATAGAAGCATCCGCATCCTGACTTACAAACAGCTTATTTCTACACGCACCTGTATATACAGCTGACATATGTGGACACACGCATAATCCACGCGCAGGGGAACACACTGGTAGACACATGTGCGTAAACATTTACAAACACATACACGTATGCATGTCGGTGCTGTTAGATGTACATATATATATACACACGTATACCCATACGAACAACCCCTTCATACATATGTACGTGTACGTACACATCGAGAAAGCCATGTGCATAGCCATCTGTATATCTCTCTCTATATATATATATATAGAGATGCATCGAACAAACATGTAGAGAGGAGGTGACGAGTGAGGGAAGGAGGAATGGAAGGGGGATATACATATATATATAGAGAGAGAGAGAGAGAGACAGAGAAAGAGAAGAGAGAGAGAGAGAGAACAGCCACAACACATTTAATTCTATATATATATATGTAGAGAGAGACAGGGATCTATATATATATCGAGAGAGAGAGAGAGAGAGAAAGAGAAAGCGAGATATAGAAGAGAGAGAGAGAGACAGAGAGAGCGAGAGAGAGAGAGGGGAAGAGAGATACCGATATAATGATATAACGTGAGAGCATCTATACATACACATGTAAACGTGTGTGTATTTGCATGACTACATGTGCTTATATCTGCTTATATATAGTTGCACGTGTAGTTGTATATGTTTATGTTTGCGTATATGTGCACGTATATGGATTTGCACTTGCAAGTATGTATGTATGCATGTATGTATGTATGTATGCCTGCCTGTCTGCCTGCCCGCCTACATGCATGTATGTATGTATGTATGTATGTATGTATGTATGTATGTATATGTGTACATATGTATATGTATATTTGTATATACGTGTGACTAGGCATATGCATACGACATGCATGTATAATATATATATACACGTAATATACATATACATGCGATTGACATGTCGGGTGCGTAATTTCAACTAGCTGGGACCCCACGCGTGAGCGCGGAACCGTGTGCATGCAATGGTCATCCAGAACCGCAGGGAGCCGATGTGGAATATCGTCTGTGCATGTGATCAAACCTACATGTGCTTGCGCACCGTGGGCAGTTTGACTCTCAGCCTGTCTACTTTGGGTCCGTCAGGGCCGTCTAAAACCGATCCTAAAACCCTCCTGGGGCATTTTTTTGCCTCCTCTGGGGGCGTCCAGAAGTCCTATTGGGCCGTCTCGTGTGCCTCTTGGGGCCCTCTTGAGTCGTGTCGGGGTTATCTGGTGAAATTTGTGGGACGTTTCGGGCAGTCTTTGGGCGGTCTAGGGGCTTGAAGGGCCGTCGTTCGGGCTCTGGCGACGGAAAAGGCGAGGAATCTCAAACGTGCTCTGAACATCGAGGGGACATGTGCAATTTTTGCTTGCTCGGGCTTATGGGGCTTCCTTTGCTGCCCTCTCAATGTGTCTGGGAAGCCTCTTCCGGCCATCTCGGAACCCCCTGGGCCTGACTTGGGGTCCTCTTCGGCCATCTTGGGTGCCCCTGGGTCGTCTGGAGCCCCTCCAAACGCGCCCCTGGGGCGTCTTGGGGCTCCTCTTGGACCGTCTAAGGGTCTTCTTGGGTCGTCCTGGACGCCTCTTGGAGATGTCTTGAGCCGTCTTGGGAGATCTGTGGGCCCTCTCGGGCAACCTTACTTTCTGTCCTAACGCGGGAATCGTCGGGCGCAGCCCGCCGCGAGGCCGGCAGACGCCCGCGCCGCGCAATATCTTCTGGGCAACGCTCTCGTGCGCGTGCCGCTCCCTGCGCCGCGCCAGCCGCCCGTCGCAAGCCTGCGATGCGCCGGCCGACGCGGGCGTCAAGGATGTCCATCGCCCGCGTGGTGGGCGCGTGGGCAAGTAGCGACAGCGCGTCGGAAGTCAGCAACGCCTCGAAGCGGGCACTCGCGAGAAACTCCGAGAGCGCGAAGTGCACAGCAGTGCGCACAGTGGTATTAGCCAGGGCCGATTGGCCACGTCACAGGCGCTTTGAAGGGGCCCTGGGACACACAAACAAATACACACAAATAAAAAGATTCCCCATATTTTCCCCTATTTTCTAGGTTTCTATCTTCCCCCCCACTGCCCATATTTTCCCATATTTTCAGGGGAATCGACGATTAATCGTGTCTGTGTGTTTTTTCCCCTCCTGACGCTTGTCAATCTAGAGTTCCCCAGCGAACCCGGCCCGAGCTGCGTCGGCGCGGAAGGCCCGCGCAGAGTCGTCCGAATGTGTTGGCGCGGGCTACGTCGACCACGTCGCGTGCGGCGATCATGACCTCCTCCTCCTCCTCGCCCTCCCCCCCTCCTCCTCCTCCTCCTCCTCCTCCTCCTCCTCCTCCTCCTCCTCCTCCTCCTCCGCCTTTCGTCGGGGTGCCCTGGGCTTCTTCGCTCCGCGCGCTGCGCGGTGGCTTCCCGCGGCTGCTGGAGAGGCTGCTGCGTTCCGAGTGTTCTGGGTCCCCCCGCAAGCCTTGCCGCTCGGACGCAGCCTACAGAAGTGGCGCGACCCGTCCGCGCAGCGGCGCCCAGCGCGTAGCTGTGCTCCCATTTCCTGCGGGCCACTTCTGCTGCCGTGGTCGCGCCTGGACTGCGCAGGATGGGCATGCGGTACTGCGCCGCATCGTCTGGGCTCACTGACAGACCGCCCCAGTACGGAAGAAAGGAAACAGCATCGGGGCGGCCGCGGGAGCAGCGGGGGCCGCCGTCGGCGCTCTTGAGGTGGAGCTGGCGAGGGGCCTAAAATCCTGCGGACATCTAGGGCGTGGCTGATTTGGGCATCATCGCGGCGCGCGCTCAGAGTCTTCGCGCAGTCGCGCGGGGGCCCTGCGGCCCCTTTAAGGAGGATTCGCGCGCCCCTGCAGCGACGAGGCATTCCTGAAGTTACCGCGCCGCGAAAATCGCCGCCGAGGACCTCCGCTTCGGGCGCGCCGCTCGCAATGCTTCCGAAGGAGCGCGTTCCGACATACAGTAGTTCCGCGCCAGTTGAATTTGAGGTGGCGAGAGAGAGAGAGAGAGAGAGAGAGAAAAGGAGAGAGAGAGAGAGAAAAGCAAAAAGACAAAGAGAAAGAGAGAGAGAGAGAGGGAGAGAGAGAGAGGAAGAGAAAGAGAGAGAAAACAACTAGGAGAGAGACAGAGAGAGAGAGAGAGACAGAGAGAGAGAGAAATAGAGAAAGAGAGAGAGAGAAGCATAAAGGGAGAAAGAGACAGATAAAGAGAGAAAGGCAGGGATAGTGAGGGATACACATACATACGTATATGTACACATATATTTACATACAAATGTGTATATGAATGTATGTTTGTATGTATGTATGTATGTATGTATGTATGCATGCATGTATGTATGTATGTATATATATATATGTATGTTTATATCTCTCTATATATATACTGTATATATATATATAGTTATATCGCAATGACTGTTTACTGCCCCGATCGGCATGCCATGCCAGCGCCGCGACGGGTGGCGAAGTGCCTGGGGCCGGGGGGGCCACGTCGAAAGAGTTATTCAGACGCGTGCATCACTGTCCCAGGGCCACGACGCCATGCCGCAACTCGACGCAGAAACAATTAGAAAGGAGGTCGCGAGCGCAGACCCGACCAACCAGCAACGAAAGGCGGCGGAAAGGGGGCGGAAGAAGGAGAGCGAGCTGCGCTCCGGTATGGACACTGATAAAGCGCCACAGCGAAAAGCCCATGTCTTTCTACTGCCACGATCGGCATGCCACGCAAGCGCCGCGACGGGTGGCGAAGTGCCTGGGGCGCGGCAGGGCCGCGTCAAACGAGTCATTCAGACGCGTGTATCACTGTCCAAAATTGCTGAACCGCCGGTATTCTGCGAAGTCGTGTCCCGGGACAGAACCCAAAAGAAAACGAGAACCGCGGGGCGACGGGAAAGCCGCCGACCAAGGCCCCCCAAGGCCGAGGAAAGGGAACCAACCCGGGACGCAGGGGCGACCCGGCCACGGGAGCGGCAAGACAGGCAGAAAGAAGAGGAAGGAGGGGAACGATTTACCGAGGGAGCCGCTCCCATGAGTCGGCGGCGCAGCTCCGACGGCAGACGAGCGGCGCGGCGAGGGGCCTCAATCACCGTGGCCCGATCGACTTCGCGAGCTGGCGGAGGAGCTTGGCCGGCTTGGCGCGCCGGCGGACTGAGTTGATCGCCGACCGTCTCCCTCGCGTCATCACTGCGCCCAGCGTCGAGCCGTTGTACTGCATGTCGTGCGACGGCCCAGCATGTCGGATACGGGGTGATGCGCGCGCCGTCGACATGGCCGCAGTTGCGGAAGATTTGCTCGAGCTTTGCGAGCGTCAGGTGCCGTAGGAGCGTGGTCGCGGGGCCGGTCCTGTACGCCAGCTCTTTGACGATGTCGGCGGCAAAGCCTCGGCCGTTAGCGCCGGGGATCACCCCCTGCCTGGTCGGACTGCTTGTTCTTGGCGGGTGTGCCGCCCTCAGGGGCCATGACCGAAGCCCAGCTGCGACTCTGAGTCCCCGGCTTCGGACGGATGACCAGCGCCGCCGTCGTCTCCGCCGGCCCCGATGGCCGCGGGCGCGCGTCGAAGGCCACGAGCGCGAAGGCGGCGGCCAGGTCGCAGTCCAGCGTGATGGCCAGCAGCAACCGTCCGACGAGAACCCGCGCTGCCCCCAAAGGCGGGGGGAGTGGTGCCCCGCGTTTCGGCCGTGGCGGTGGCGCGCCGCAGGAAGCCAGGGTCCGTGTCGGCCGCGCTGGGCGCCCGTCGCCGCTTGCGCCTCGCGGGCGCGATTGTGGGCCGCCCGCCGCAGCGCCTCGAGCAGCCCCCCCGGCCGAGGGCGGCGCCCCGCGAGAGGCGCGCGGGCGCCGCGCGCCAGGGGCGCGGGCAGGGCCCCGCTGGGCCGGCGGCGTCCAGCAGCAAAAATCGGTGGAATCCGGAGGTTGGGTCGGTAACCTCCGGAGGTTACCGATTCCTCCCCGGGGAGGGAATCGGTA